TTTCACTTTCAACTCTCTAATTGTCTGGGTTTTGTGAACGTCTGAACAGAGTTTTCAAGAGCAAGTAGTCTTGCTTCACAGATAACACTGTTTTTCTTAATTCCAGTTTGTGGTTCAAATACCCATTTATATAATGTAGGTCACTCCAAAAGCAATGCTTCCTGTTTATTTCCATGGAAACTACAACAGGTACAAAGAACACAAGAACACTACTGGGTAAAGCAAAATGCCAGCTATAAAACATTATTTTTGTATATAATTACCACCGTTAGCTATACATTTTCTCCATCAGTGAGCAGCAGCCTGCGTGCTGTGCTTGTAAAAATCTGTGTAGACCTCCAGAATGCAGCTTGTCTTTCACAGCGCTGTTGCTGCTGCTGAAACATACCACCCACTGCCTCACTGTGCTCACACTTACTGTTTGGTATCCAGAAACGTTCAGTAAGAATCAATGAATGTCAGTAGGTGCCATTTTTTTTCTCAAATGGTGGAATTCAATCCCATACCTTTGCTTCATATACACTTCCATGTGAGATGCCACTTGTCAGAGTGCCCCTCTGCTGCCATCTGTCACATGGCAACAAAATGTAATTAAATATTGGCGGGTTGGCTCTACTTCTACAGCCATACCACCAACATCTGCATCTGATGTTCTGGGTCAACAAAATAAAATAGGAGGCACTGCTTTGGAGCAGCCCTTTGGGATCTTTGGCCATCTTCCAGTATGAAATGTTACATATTCACACTGCATTTTAAATTGCTGGAAAATCTGTTTTCTTATGCTAATCAGTAACTTGTAAAGCATATAGCATTTAATACATAGATCACTTTAGTGGAGGCAATTCTGTTGATTGCAAAATCCATCAGAGTACACTGGCACGAAAAAAAGATTGTATGTGGCAGTCCATATTTAGTAAATTGAGGTTATTAATCAGACCCTGTTCCCAGTGTATCATTCATCCATATGTTAAGAATTTTTCAACACCCTGTGAGGGAACAGCAAGCACAGGCAGCTCTGCAGGAGAAGATATATGAGGTTTAAGGGTGGCAACAGTACAGCAGAGGCTAATCTCTCACCAATAAAGTATTGAGTGACTGTGAAAGTCCTGGCTTAAGCTAGGAAGTCAGGACAGCATTGGTAGTATATAGGCCTGTTTACAGGCATACCTTGTACAAATCAAGCAGGGGCAATGGAATGTAGCTGTGCTTGAACACAGCTATGGGTCGGTAGAGGTCCTGGAATGGGTTGCTTAGAGCACTTACAGCTCCATGGTGAACTGAGGGTTGAGAGCAGGGTCCTCGGGGGTCACTTTCAGTAAATGTCTTTTTTTATTTATTGCATATGCTACAAATTAATGGACCTACCCCCTGTCCAGGTTTAGAGTAGTGCAGGCTCAAAAACAGATTCTGCTTCAGAATAAACTGAAAGAACAGTTGCAGCCCTATATTTTTGGTTTTTTTGGACAGTCAATTAATAGTACTCATTTTCAAAAAATTTTGGCTGAATTCAGATACAATCCCCCTTCTTTGAAGTCTTTCAAACTTTCTTTATTATCTCAGCGTACTTGCTTTTATTTAAGCATAAGGATTCCTGGCTGGGAAATGCCTGCAGTTCTAATGTGGAGCAGTAGGATCACAAGAAGATATGTAAGAACAAAAAGAATATTTTGACAACTTGCTTCCTTCAGGCATAAAAGCAATCTGCAGAATTTTACAGATTCTGTCAAACTGCCAATACACTACAGTTACTAAGGACCATCTGATAATGATGCAGTCTGGTAAGTCAACCTAAGATGCAGTTCCAAAAATCTCCCATTAGCAGATCATAAATGAACACTGATGAGCTGGAAATGTCTTCTCTATTATTGTAATTTCCATTCTACAAATGCAGATGTTTGTGTTTTGGGGAAAAGAATGGGAAACACAACACTGGGTATGTTGTAATTAACTGCATCATCTTTTTGTGCTGGAAAAGCATATGTGAAAATAGAGCAACTTATAGTTTGAGAACCTTACTGCAGATTGTTGTTCCAAATGAAGCTGTAAAAACACCAGAATCTTTTTCAAGTGATGAACATAGAAAAGCAGACACTGTCATACTCTGAAATGCCAAGGGATCATGACTGTCTTTTGGTAGAGGACCAGGAGATGCATTGCTCGATGTGAAGCTACATTTTTTTGGCGCAGAAAAGGAGTGGTACCAGAAAAAGACAGCAGCATCCATATTTCAGGTCTCATTGGTCTGAACTTCAAAGGCATGAAACATTGTTTCTCTGTATTTTCAAAGTCTGTCTGAAAATGAGAGCTTTTCACATTTTTTCTGCATTCCAATAGATTAGTGAATTTTGTTATGGACAAACCAAGGTTTTGTATTGGCAAGACTGTGAACTAATGAACTCAAATTCCTGAGCTGCTGCCCACTTCTCTTCTGTCTACAGTAGCTCTTAAAAAGATCCTCAAACATGCACTTTTATAAGGATGAATTGTTAGCACACCGCAATGACGGTATATTGAATCACGAAGTAGGAATGTTCTTGAGGACTATTTTGTTCTGCACTAGTGATTTCCCAGGTAACTAAATCCTTATTGGGAATATTCCAAACCATCAATATTATAACTTTTATATTCCCAAAAGGGAGGTGATCTAGATACTAGAGAAATTTTTTGCTGGAGAAAAATGTCTAGGAGATGAACATGATTTGGCTAACTATGTACATGACGAGAAACAAGTGTTCTTATAAGGACTCTCTGCCAAGGTGTTGAAGCAAAAAGGATAATTAAGAGAACTGCAGGAAATATTCTGTGGTATGCTCACATAGTGAAGACAGGGATTTTCTCAGACACAGTATTATATTAAGAATCCAGAAAGCTAATTCTTCTGTCCGCATCTGCTCCTGGTGACCTAGTGGTTGTCTTGCCAGCTCTGAGTACTCTGTGATCTGAAGATGCCTCTTCTATTGAAGCCTCCTCTGGCAGAAAGGTGGACAGTTGGCTGCCTCTACAGCAGTGACTTTTGTTGAAAGTAGGAGGAGATGCCAACCCCAAAATCTATCCACAAGGGGATTCAAGGAAGTGCTAAGCTAATTAAAGGTGCCTATAATGGGGAGCATGAAAATATGACTTAGAAGAGGATAAGCAAGTGCAGAGAGCAGAGTTAGAGAGTTTGTTTTGTTTCTGTTAAAATGGTTGGAATGGACAACTTCTGGAATTCTTAGAACTGTCTACACATTTCTATTAAATATACACTGTATGTATACATTTTATTGATGATATTTTCAAGGATTTTAAGAATGTTTTTTCATGTTCAGAAAAATAACCTATTTTGAAGGAAAAGGGGAAAAATGTTTCACTATCAGAGGAGTTAAATATTAAAGACCACCTCTGTCCTTTTTATTTTTCTAGCGCTGTGAATACAACCTCACTACAAAGGGTCCAGAATTCATTTAATCTTTTTGTGACATTTCATTATGTGTTCCAATGCACTAGTGTAATTGTATGGTACTATTAAAATGTATGGAAACAGAGGGTATAGAAATTCTTTGCTTGCTGTACTGGATGTGTGATTAGTGTATTTGCATCCGTACGTATTGAAGACAAAGAAATTGCACTGGAACCAGAGAGGATGCAGGAGCATAACAAACAGAGGAAGTGGACATTGCTTCTTAAAGGAATTAAAAAAGTGTGAAAGAAAATAGGCCAGGTAATGTATATTAAATGAGGAAAAAATAGACAAAAAACTGTATCAAACAACTTCATCTTATGTCAAGTAACACTTGTAGCTGCTGCTGGAGTTATGAGAAGTGCTTGTCATCAATTGCACCAAAATAACATCCATCAGTGGGGGTTTCCATGCATTTGCAAGTGATTTGTTTGACATAAATATATTTCCTTCAGAGTTTTAAAATTTATATGTAATTGGTTTGATTACCTTAAAAATCAAAGCTAAATACAAAACAAACAGTTCCTTCCTAGAGATTGCAGGAATGATGTTCCTATATGCAGTTATTTCAGTTATTTCTCTTTGTGACCTGTAGTGGAGAAGCTAGCAGTTGGGAGTTCGGAGTAATTGCCCATTCCTAGCAGAACCATTGGCTCATTTTGCTGATCACAGAGACCACTGTTAAGGTTTTCTTACCTGCACTGATCAAAAGATTCTCCCGTGTTATATGTGAGAATGTGCTCGGAAGTAGTGATGTGGGTAGACACCGCTGCCAGACTTTAGCAGAAGGAATTGTATTACCCTCCTTATCTTTCTGTTGGGGCGTCCTGTGTAATGCTTTTGGGGTGATGGGAAGTAAATAAATCTGTTGGAAATATGCTTCATTTTTAAAGAATATAGAGACTGAAGAAGTAAGAATCAAGCTTTTATTCAAATAGAAACAACTGTGCTGTCTATGTAGCCTTAACTTTCATTTTCATGTTTTCAGTATTTAGTTCCATTTTACTATTCTGTTCAGTCAGGATGAAGTGGAGGCAAAACAGATCTGCTGAATGATTTTGGTTTTGGAAAAGAATGAAAGATTTTGTATCTAATACAAGCTTCTCCTTTTTCATTTTTTGATCTAATCTTGTTTTAAATGGAAGTCATTGCAGACTGTCCTGTATGATACTTGAATTTTTTTTTGAATCAATTTTTAATTAAAAGTTTATGTACACAATTTTTATATTTCCTGAGGAATGCACACACAGTTAAAGATGTTTTTGCCGTTTTGTCTTTAATTTGCCATGAAATAAATTCACTGCAAGTATCTCGTGCATTTTGTATGTGACATCTATTACATGAAGCAAATTTTAAAATTATTTAATGAACCTTTGTATCTGACCTGTAATTTCAGTTAAATTACTTGTAGCTTTGATCCCGCATCTAAAGCTTTTCAGAACTGAAGAATTCAAAACGAAAAAGAGGGCGAGCAATAAAGTATAGATGAAGGCTCTAGATTTCTGGTCTGCTGTGTTTGTGAGACAGTAGCAAATCCTGTATGATTTTTATTCTGTTTCAGCGGTTTACCTCTGCAAGCGGACAATGCAAAATAAAGCAAGGCTAGAGCTAGCAGACTATGAAGCTGTAAGTACCTGGGGAAAAGTAAATTTCTTTGCTGATCTTAATTAGCATGTAAAATAATGATAAGTGTGAGAACTGTGGGCATTCTGTAGTTATACAACTTTTGCCAGCATGTGGGTTTGACATTGCTCAGGAGTAATAAAAGGTGTTTGAGAGGCAGTAGCAAAGGCTGGCTGGGCAAGAGTTGACATTTTGGCTTGTCTCTAATACTGGATCATCATGCAAGGATCAGAAACAGCTGCTTGCAAATCGCACATACACCTCGTGTTTGAAAGCAGTTGTACTCTACATAGTGTAAAGACTTGAATGAAAAGTCTCTGGCAATGTTTTGAGAAGCGTTTAGTAGCTATAGATATATGAATCTCATTCTTAAAAGTGTTGCTGGCACTTGAGCTTACATCTCATCAGTTATACTATAGGCAAAGACTGCTAGAGTCTATAGTTTCCCACTATAAATGTCATGCTCTGCCCCAGGCAAGAAAGTGAGGTAATTGGGTCTAGGAAGAGCAGTAGGAGGAAGGAGTTTGATTAGGTGAGGAGGATGGCACTGACCAAGGAGATGGGTTGGATTCCATCCCTATTCCCCCTAAAGTTCTTGAATTTTTCATGAAAGTGTCAACATAAGATTCATGCACAGTCCTGTCTCTGCACTGAAAACTGTCCAGCTGTGTTACTATGACATGATAGCAGGATAGTCAGCCAGACCTCTCAACATGCCAAATACTCCAGCCTCAGCATCATGCTGACAGACTTCATTGCCTCTTCTGGCACAAACTTGCTTTTCAGTGTACTGCGCTGTGAGGTATGTCTGATTTTATATTTGCATAGAAAATTTACCTCCAGTATACTATTCATAAGAGCCTTTATTGGTATTTACGAGATTTCCAGTCTATGTAATCTTTATTTTTGATAAGAATTTAGTTGAGAGACTTTTGCAATACATAGAAATACAATTAACACAACACTTTTTGTTAGGAAGTTTAAAGATGTTTTTTCACTTAATCTCAATAAAAACAATGTGCAGTGGCAACTGGGACCTTTCTTGATGAATTTAAGTACCTCATTCTTCTCCATGTTATCATAATGCATGCTGCTGCCTCTCAAGCTTGAGAGAGATAGAAAATCTCTGTCACAGACCATGAACCTGTTCCAGTGCCACCAAAATAATTTTCTCAAGGTTTGGAAAATCTTCTTCCTGTTATTAGTAGTGGAATATAGCATATATATACATTCCTCATGCAGTACTGAATAACTTTAGTCTGTATTTCTTTTGAAATGAGAATAGCTGTGGATAGCTTCAGAGACTCCTACATTACAAAAATATTCCTACTTTCTCATTATTGTATTTTAAATACATTTGTATGTAGCCAACATTATCAAACACAAGTCACTCAGAGAGGCAACTGGTGGAATTTGTCATGTAGATCATTCAGTATGGAAATTTCTTCTGTTACCTTTCATGAGTAGGTATAAAACAAGAATGTGGTTTTGCATTATTACAGGATTACCCTGTCCAACACCCAGCACATGGAAATCTTTCAAAAATCCCATGTTCTTTTAGAGGATTTCATCCACTCTTATCATCAAATTTTTGAAGCAAAAATAGTGAGGACATTAAAAAGTAGACTGATGTAATGTTCTATCCTCTTTGCATTTGTGCAAACACTTTAAATCATAAGGTGCATTTACACTGGTACACACTATGGCTTGCATTACGTCTTTGTGGGGGGGAAGCATGGGAGGAGGAGAAGGTAAGTCAAAAACTATTAAACAGTAAATTGCTACCTAACTTGTCAAAACTGTGATCTGTTTTCAGGAGAGCTTGGCCAGGCTACAGCGAGCATTTGCTCGGAAGTGGGAGTTTATTTTTATGCAAGCTGAAGCACAAGCAAAGTAAGTTCCTTTCAAGATGAGTTTTGTGTGTACATGTGTGTGTGCTTTTAAAGGGAATAGGGGATAAATAAGATATTGGAAACCTCTCATGTTTCAAATCACTAACACAGTTTCTTTTAAATATCTCACAATAATGACAGAGTTGACAAGAAGAGAGACAAGATAGAAAGGAAAATTCTTGACAGCCAGGAGCGAGCGTTTTGGGATGTGCACCGGCCAGTGGTGAGTGCTGGTGGAGTTGTGCTGCCTGGGAGCAGGACTGATGGTGAACATTAGTCTCTGCAGGGTGTTCAGGTAGTCTGGAAACAAGTAAAAGGTTTGTAAAGCATGAGTTGGGGTCTGCCTTCCTATTTCCAATATCAACAGTTTCCATCATTCTGCTATTTAAGACTGCTTTTAAGATTACACACAGTTTAGGGTTTTCAGGAAATAGATTTCTTGTGTCTAATTTCTTGAATCAGACAGTAACTTTTTTTCGCTATTACAGTCTCAAATGTTTTGCAAGGTATGAGTCACGCCATTAAACTATCATATCTAAACTGCTTTTAAATAAATCAGAATATATTTTAATCTAATCATTTGCTTGCTAAGCCTTCCAATTTCACTGGTCATATTTTCAATTTTTTTTTTAATGTGCATAAAGGTTAGCTGTTGTTAGCTTTGATATGTGAAAGCTGTAGTCTTAACAAGATTTGTCAGATTTCTCTTTCAAAATCCATCTGAAATTTAAAAAAAAAAGTCATACTGCTTCAGAGAGTGAAAAATAGAGGGAAAACACCAAATGCCATAACAATTCTGATTGATCTTTGAGAAGTGAATAATGACACTGGTTTGCATTACTACAGAATTATATCTGCTTTTCATATGTAGCATTAAGCTACATATACATTTTGATATAATCGCCAGTGAAATAGAATACGGACTGTATCTTCCACTGACATTTTAATAAATAAGGAACTAAAGCTTACTCATTTTTATTCCTAGTTGTTAGATGACTTAAACTGTAACAACAGCTGGTGCTATGTTGTCAGTAATTGTTTTGAGGAAGTAAGGTCAGCTTGATTAAGCCTGTAGAAGAGGTGGATGGGGTGAAAAAGTTTCAGAGAAAAAATAATGAACTTCAACAGGGTCAACTTGCACTTGTGTAGAGTGGTATTGGAAGAGCAGTAGAAGAAATGGATTTTTAGGTAGGATTTAAAACGTCAAGTAGGGAAAATCATTTGAGGTGAAAAATTCAGTCTGCAGACATTAGATACAAAAACATTATTGTCTAGTCACTGGCATTAAACAACAAAGGAGGGCAGAAAAACAATCTGCCACCTGATGTTCATGGAAGCTGTCAATAGAAGAGACACAGAATGTTTCTACGCGTATGAGAAGTTTAAAAGCATACAGCATTTATCTTAGCTGCAGAAATGGATTTAAGCGATTTGAATCTGGGAATGAGATGCTGTTTCCATGTTTGGAAGAGAAGTAGTTGAAGGTTTGAGTTAAGGTATGGGCAGACAATAAGGAGAGATTTAAAGGCATCAGAGCAAGAGGAAATTGAATCTGATTGAGAGCTTTGACTGAACTGTGGATAAATCTGCCTACTCTTGTTGAGATTTTTAACCTGGCTGTAGATAGACCTAGGAAATATCAAACGTAAAAGATTGGCTTACTGTCAGCAATCTAGGCTCCTGACTTTGAGAGATGATATAAATAGAGATATAAATACAAGAATGGAGAAAAAATCATTGGCACTTGGGCTAAACCTAGCAACATATTCTTGGGCTAAACCTAGCAACATATTCTTTTTTTTTTTTTTTTTTTTTTTTAATTGTGTGTGTGTGTGTGTGTACTGGCAGAGTAAATATATCTTAAGAGCTTTGCTTTTCTTTACATCTTCCCTGAAAGAGCATTTCCCTAATTTTGAAATTTCTATAAATAGCGGACTATGGAACTGATTGAATGAAAATTGATTAGGAGAATTAGGGTTTCAGTCAAAAAGCAGTAACTAAACAGCTAATGCAGGGGAGACGGTTCTTCTAAGATGAAAAGAAATTGAGCTGTTCTTTGAAAAGTAATCTTAAATGTCTGGATTGAAGCCTTTGTAAAAGAACTCATAGCTTTCCTGAATCTAGGCAAACTCTGTTAAGATGAAAAGTGACTGTAAGACCAATACACTGATGATATAACATTTGTGAATACTTCCGATTTCAAGATTTAGGGGTTTCATGACATTGTTGCCTGGTAGAAAAGTAAGGAAAAAGTAACCTTGTCATTTCTTTAAGACCTTGACACACATTCCACACCTTTATCTTTTTTCCCTGTTAAATTCTTTAATGGATTCTGTTTCCATTGCTCATTTTAAATGTTTATATTTTAAAATTGTAATTTATGTGGTCTGAACATGATCCTCAGTATCTGTGCCAAAAGGTAATACTACCAGGTGTTCAGGGTCACGCAGTGGATAACTGTGGTTATTTGTTCTGGGCTTTCCTTTCTTTTTCTTTTTGTCATTTATTCTGCTTTTAATGACTTTTCCATCCTGTTCTTCAAGATCAGCCTCAAAGACTTGGCAAAGGACTGCATTTAACTTGGCCAAGGTGGAACAGTCCTTTTTTTCACACTTCATGTGCTACAGACCTTGAGATTTTCTGGGTCAGTTACTTGTTCAGCCACAGAACACTTCTCTCTGCTTTACCTTTTAAACGTCTGTAGGAAAGAAACATAAATTATGCCATCCAATTTATCTGGTGATGTATCATGTCTCCTTTTGCACCTGCTTCACTGTGTACCTTTACAAGGGAGTTACCCATCCAACAGTCGGGGAATATGGCCAACACAGCTGTTGGCAGCCTCAAATAATCACACTTCTGGTAATAAAATAAATGTATTGTACAATGTGTTATTTTCAGAATTGTGAAATAAAACTGATGAGGTAATGGGAAGATGCAGAAAAATGAGATGATCTGGTTTTTAGTAAGACTCAATTCTGGTAGCAACTGGGATAATAAGCTGAATTATTAAGTGCAGTACAAAACATAGATTTAACAGATTTCCTTATGCATTAGTATTGCAAATACTGTATTTTTCACAAAGATCATATTAACACATTCTTAATTAAAATTCATACTGCTTAAAAAATTTTGAATCTATGCAATTTATGTTATTTATGTACAGTAATATCTGGTTCTGAAAACTAGTCACTACAAACCTAAAACAACCTGTTGTAAATTAAGAACAATCAGAAATTGGATTAGCTTTCAGAAAGAATTAATCATATCAGTTCTGTCCAGTCATAAACTCTTTAGCACTGTTTCTAGTTTACTTTTAAGTGCCTTAAGTCTTTAAAAATTACATCTCAACATCTCTTTTGTATGAATTTTATATATTATGTCTTTTCTGTGACAAAGAAACCACTATAAGAATTATTTTCAAAAGTGAAATGATGAAATCCTATTCTCTTAAAGTGAAAACCCAGTTTTGTACTAAATCTTAAACAAGCAAGGAAATGAGAATGTGAGCATAAATGTCACGATTCAAGATGCTCACATATGGATTAAATTTAAGGCTTAGTTTATTATATTAAATTTCTTGAAAATCTCTATGTATCTCTTCTTCTCCTGTCCCAAGAAAACCCTTTATTTGCAAGGCCACTGAAATTCCTTTTGTGCCTGATATTATTCAGGGAAAAGATTTGAGCTGTAGTTTGAAAGGACAGGTATAAAGTATAAAGAGAAAGCTCATGCAGCTCAGGTGCTTTTTTTTTTTAAGATACTGGAAAAGATACTGAAGTTTTAAGCAACCCTAACTTTGCTGTTGAGTGGTTGAGTGTGACTTCCCATCTTTTACTTTTAAAAACAATTGGTTTTACTGTACTGCACATGCTATTTAAAGCTTGATCAAACTAATTGATCATTTCTTCTGTATCTGATGCTCTTTGAACCTCATTTTTCTTGTCTAAACAAGAGAACTTGACAACTTTTAGTTATGTTTTTATCCACTGATTGCAATCTTATTCATGCTTTGATTAATTTTAAACTGCAGAACAACAGGGGGCCTTCTGCCATTTTAATAGTACTCTTCAAATAATATATATTTAATGGTTATCTTCAAATAAATCCTTGACTAAAGCATGTATTGATTTTACTAACTGGTACAAATGGCAAGTTGTCCTTTACAAGAGACTTGTCTATAGCAGGTTTAACTTATGCTTATGCCTGTTTTTGCAGTTTATCAAGAATTCATTATTTCTGAATCAGTGTATTTCCAGTGGATGACACAATCAGGATTGTTGCTCATTCGTTTCACTTTAATAAAGAAATTTGTAACCGTACATCTCTATTATGTAATAACTCAAAATGAAATTAACTAAGGAGGACATATATTGAGCATTTAAATTCTCTGTGCTTCCTGCATAGTTCTCTGTTAAAATCTTCAACAGGAGAGAACACTTAATCCTAACAAAGCTTTTATTAATTATTAGCAGGAAGATCCTTTCTTTTGTAGGAACCACTCCAGTAAGGTTTGACATGGGATATACTGAGGCCTGAAATGCCATTTCAATAAATGAATAAGAAAGCATGAAAAGCTGTATTTAGGAAATTAAAAGCCAACAGATTGTACATCATCAGCTGATATAGACAAGTTTTAGCAGCTAAGCTGTGTAATACTAATTTGTTTCCATAATATTACTTGAGTGTAGATCACTATTTTCAAAGACAGTTCCAGCATCTTGTCAGATGTATCATGTTTTAAAAATGCATTCAAATTAAGGAATATAACCAAATTTGCGGCTGTTCTATGCAAGTCCACTTCCAAATTGTATTCACTTATTTCAGTGTCAGACTGAATTCATAATACTGGAATTATTTACCCTATTTGTGTTCCAGAAGGATTGTATTTATAGCATAGTACAGGTGTTTTAAGATGAATGATTAAAAGCCTGAAGAAACTGTGAAAAATACTTCAGTAGAACAAGCAGGTTTTAATCATTTTTTCCTGATTACGTGCCAAATTTGCAAGGCGTCCAGGAATTAATTTGAAACGTAACTGCTACAGAATTTATCTTGTAAGAAAATCTTGGGATTTTCTTCCTGAACATTAAATATAATTTATCAGTGTTAATTGGAAAGCATCACTGTACTTCCCAGATGAGCTAACTTACAACAGAAAAGAGAGTCCTTGGGAAGAACTAGGAAAAATGTGATACAATTTTAGAGAAGTTTAGTCTGGAG